TTCTAATAGAGCAAATATGGTTCATGGGATTCCATTGGGGATGGGGTGCTTCTAATAGAGCAGATATGGTTCATGGGATTCCATTGGGGATGGGGTGCTTCTAATAGAGCAATGTGGTTCATGGGATTCTATTGTAGATGGGGTGCTTCTAATAGAGCAAATATGGTTCATGGGATTCCATTGGGGATGGGTTGCTTCTAATAGAGCAAATATGGTTCATGGGATTCCATTGGGGATGGGGTGCTTCTAATAGAGCAAATATGGTTCATGGGATTCCATTGGGGATGGAGTGCTTCTAATAGAGCAATGTGGTTCATGGGATTCTAATGGAGATGGAGTGCTTCTAATAGAGAAAATATGGTTCATGGGATTCTATTGGAGATGGGGTGCTTCTAATAGAGCAAATATGGTTCATGGGATTCTATTGGAGATGGAGTGCTTCTAATAGAGCAATGTGGTTCATGGGATTCTATTGGAGGTGAGGTGCTTCTAATAGAGCAATGTGGTTCATGGGATTCTATTGGAGATGGAGTGCTTCTAATAGAGAAAATATGGTTCATGGGATTCTATTGGAGATGGGGTGCTTCTAATAGAGCAAATATGGTTCATGGGATTCTATTGGAGATGGAGTGCATCTAATAGAGAAAATATGGTTCATGGGATTCTATTGGAGATGAGGTGCTTCTAATAGAGCAAATATGGTTCATGGGATTCTATTGGAGATGGAGTGCTTCTAATAGAGCAAATATGGTTCATGGGATTCTATTGGAGATGGGGTGCTTCCAATAGAGCAAATATGGTTCATGGGATTCTATTGAAGATGGGGTGTTTCTAATAGAGCAAATACATACTTTATGTTATTTAACTATCCTATTTGAATATTATCATTGTAACATCCCCATCTGTTGAGCAGCAGCAAGACTACACGACATATATATCTACCCATATTCACTGGGTATGATATATGTGCTAAGTAGCTTGGTGTCAAAAATGTTGATCTTTGGAATCGCCTCTCTAATTCAACAAACTTAGTTGTTCTATTTGATGAGTGTCCTCAACAATACAAATACAAAATAATTTCACCCGATGAACTGAATCTTGTATGAGTTTATTAAAGCCTGTTGATAAGTACAATCATCGAGATGACACAAAATAACCTTCACTTGCATGTATGTAGCTTTGCATTTTATGTAAACAATGTTTTTGAGGTTTATTGCACTAGTGCACCAGTTTCCGAAACTAAACCTTTAGAGCACCATTGTCAATTTAAGACAATCCCATCTACAAGATGCTTCTCTGCACATGAAATAATAATTTTGATCAGAAACTAAAAGCAGTATCTGAAACTCTGTATGGTTCAAAGTGATGATGCAGTTTAGTGACAATTTTTACAAAAGGTTAATACCACATTTTTGGAAGGCAGGGCAGACTGTACTAAGGCTTATACTGCAGAGTCCGCGCTTTGAATCAATCTTACAAAAGTCCTGATGTAAGGAACACACACTAACCAATATACTTTAGAACGGATGCGAATAATTAGTAAAAATATGTGAAAAGTATACAATTTTGTTATTCTCCATATTGAAAGGTACACCACACTGGAGATATGCACAATGTGCATGTGATAAAGCAAATAAAAATTAGAAACTTGTTTCCATGGAAACCCTCTTTTGGTTGCTATTTCAGATTGAAAAGTGGGCTCATAATTCAAAAAACTATTTTGGCTACTCAAAATTTTTTTTTTTGAATTTTAAACAGCCAATCACAAAGAATGTACAGTTTAGCAAAGTTACTAGCAATGTAATTTTGTTGATCATGACTGCATATACTGTAAGTGAGTTGTTGAGTAAATTGTAAAAATTTTATCATATTGGTCTGAAACAATATTATCTCCAAGAGTGGTGCAGTAGTTTTATACTGTTCAATTTTTAACCTCCTCAAACAGGCCATGTTCTCTGTTTAATTACTCGTTCGACTGTACTAAAACATGTCTACTCAAAATATACAGTTGTTATTGACATAAAAAGTGTGGATTCACAAATATGCACCTGTTCTGAAATACTTCAACTTGCACTACCCGGTAATTTGGAAAATGAGTGAATATTCTTGTAACCATTAAATATTTCAATAATTTCAAGACCCAAAATGAAGCTTTAGAAATGATCAACTTTAAAAAATGTGAAAAATTTCCGTTTATTGTGTCAACT